CGTACCTGTGTTTTATAGATTATGCAAAGGTGTTGGACAAAGTACACCACAAAGATCTGTTAGCACTGCTCAGCAACCTTGCCTGTATGTGGATAAAAAGTGATTTCAATAGATATACAAAAATAGAAATGGGCGTAAGGCAAGGATGTGTCTTCTCACTGGACTTATTCAACCTATACATTGAGGCAAGGATGTGTCTTCTCACTGGATTTATTCAACCTATACATTGAGGCAAGGATGTGTCTTCTCACTGGACTTATTCAACCTATACATTGAGGCAATTCTGAGAGAACTGGAAATCCCTCCCAGATTCTTCATTGGTGGCCACAATTTTAACAACATAAGACATGCAGATGACACAGTGCTGATAGCAGACATGGAAAGGAAACTATAAACTCCCTACAGAAGGTAACAAAGAAGGGCGAGAAAAAGGGACTAAACCTTAACTACAAGAAGACAAAGTGCATGGTCATTAGCAAAAAGATGACCCCAAAATGCAATTTACAGATTGGAGACACTAAAATCAAGCAGGTACAGAAATTTAAATATCTGGAAATTTTTCTAACAGAGGATAGAAAGTGTGACAGTGAGATCCAAATACATATTGGAATGGCCAAAGATGCATTCCAAAATCTAAGCTGAGTATTATGAGACAGGAAAGTTATGTTGGAAACAAAGAAAACAGCATTGAACTGCTATGTGATATCTGTCTTCCTGTATGGCAGTGAATGCTGGACAATCTTCTCAAAGATGAAGAAGAGACTTAAAGGACCAGAAATGTTCTACAGAAGGATTCTAAGGATAACATGGTCTGAACATGTGAGCAATGATGAGGTTTTGGAGAGAATGGAAACAAAGTGGAAACTTGTATTTAACATCATAAAGAAGCAGCTAAAATTTCTGGAATACATAATAAAGAAAGAAGGCTTGGAAAATCTGATACACATAGGACAGATAGAGGGAAAAAGAAATAATAAAAAGACAAAACTTATTAGGGCCTACAAGGGACAGCAAGAGGTGGAGGGCCATGATTGCCTATATCCTAAAGGGACATGCTACATGAAAGAAGAGTAAATACATTTTACATCATTAAAGCTTTTCCTAAGGTGCGATCTATACTTAGTATACTATAGTGAAAACAATTTTTTTTGTATTTCTTTAAGGCGTGGGCTACCAGGGAATCCATCAATGATTCTGTCATAACCTTTTCCAATCAAATCCAGGATTCTAACTGCAACTGGAATTATTGTTTTTATGATGTCACATTTTTGAGATTTCCACTTTAGGATATTTGTATGTTCATAGTTTTTTTTGTTTTTTTTTTAAGGCTGTCAATGATACATTAGTCTGCAGGAAGTGCAATGTCAGTAAAAAAAAAAAAAAAAATGCATGTTCTGTTTTTGCAGTTTTTGATCACTGTCTGGGCAATTAACTTTGATTATCCTGTCTGTGTGTATTGTAAAGTCCCACAAAATTGTTACAATTCCTATGATTGTAACTGGGGGGTGGGTGGTATTCATACCAATTTTTTGGAGTTTCCTTCCCATAAAAATTGCAGATTTTCCAGTGCTGATATTGGCCCTTTCTGTCATGCTGAGTTTTATGTTCAGTTGATGTTAATACCATGCAACCTGATACAAGATGGTCAATTCTTTCTGGATATTAATACCAGAATCTGCTTTTGGGGTCAACACAATTTTTCATTGTGTTTGCTTGATAATATCTAGTTAGCAAGCATTGGTCCTGTGCAGTAAGAATATTGATATTCTGTTCTGTGAATTCAACTCTGCATTTAACACCAGATGCACATGGCAGTTGTATTCCTTTCTTATTTTCTCCTTTCATTTGAGTATGTTGTATTCCAACTCCTTTGCTGACTCCTAGGTGTGTTTTTTCACCCCAAGCAAGGTGAGAATGCCACTAACATGCAAGGGGTTACAGAGAGTGAGAACAGGTCTGTGGAGTCGGAACACAAAATCTCCGACTATTTTTTGCACCTCCAACACCTCTCTTTGTAATTAAGTATTTATGGCTTACATATCTCATAAAGCCTATGCATGCACTCATAACTTGAGTAACCTGTATTATTAGCAATAATTTAAAATAAAAAAAAAATCAACTGGGAATGCTAAGCATAATCTATGCTATAGGAAACAAAGAAGTAAAAATAGTTAACAAGAAATAAAAAAGACATTGCAGCGAGAACGAGAGATAAAAATAAACAAAGAAACGGTGTTACATGAATTTGTCCCTGATAAATAAGTCCACATTGCCGTGATAAATGAATTCTTTAAATGTGTTAAATTAGAGTGACTTTATACATTTATCGAATCCATCGGAATCAAAGTCGAAGTCTGTATAGTTTTACTGACTCCGACTTCAGGGATACCTTATTTGCTTCCGACTCCAACTCCAGAGCCCTGAGTGAGAGCAAGAGTAAAAAGGTTTGTTTAAAAAAGGGTATAGAGAAGGATGGCAATTGGGATCAAGGTATCAGAAATGTGGATTGACATTACATTTGAATATTTGAAGATTAGAAAAGTGCAAGAAAAGAAGCTGTTGGAGTAGAAGTAGCTGTTACATTTAACTGTTTCAACAGTGAAAGGGTGGGACGGAGATGCCAATCTAGTAGGACACAAACTCATGCAGTTGGTGTACCAGTGAATGTAGCTCATCAGAGCAGTTGTCATAAAAATATTTGTAGAAAAGACAGAGGGAAGCCATACCACAAGAAAGTGACTGTAAACAAGATGCCAGATCATGATCTATCACATTGCATATTTATACACTTCTTGCTTTGGTTGCCTAATATTTATGATAAAATCAAGATCTATGGAATTAACACATTAATTCCATCTATATTTTACGCACGCGCGAGTTTCCTTCCTTTCACACTCGTGTGTGTGTGTGTGTGTGTGTGTGTGTGTGTGCGCGTGGTTTTCACCCCTTCCTTCCTCTCACAGCTAGATGTAGCAGTAAGCTGGAGAAAGGACTTCGCTAGCTCCTACTGATGAAGTCAGACTAACAGATTTTGAATTTTTTTTCCCGCGCGTTTTTCGGCGTCTCAAACGGCCAGTCTTTGCAAGCCGTTGCCTTCCGACTTTCGACCTAACTAGACGGGCAACTCATTTATTCCGTGCTCTTAACCCATATGCGGGCCGGAATATCTTATCTCAACAATGTCGAGTTCACACTTTACCAAGACTTCTTCTCGTCTTGAAGCTGCCCGCAGGTCAGACCTTCTCCGTTTTCGACCAGAAGACGTTCGAGACACACGACACAGTCGTGAGCAAAACTTCGTATTCAACAAGTGGCTTATTTTTATACCTCGTCAGTCAATCGTAAATACAGACAGGGATATCCTACTGACGAACAACTTGCTATCCGCAGGTCAGACCGTCTCCGTTTTCTGCTAGAAAATGTGCGAGACACACGACACAGTCGTGGGCAAAACTTCGTATTCAACAGGTGACTTACACTTACCCCTCGTCAGTGAACCAGTAAATACAGACAGGAATATTCTTACTTACGAACAAACATTTTCTGTCTCTCTGGGCTCGCCGTAAACAACTCCACAAGACCATGAAACTCGCTTCAAACATTCTTTGTTTCTCCTGGCTAGATGCCCACATCAATCCGGTAAAATTTCCAGCAGCCAATTCAATGCCTCACCAAAAACTCTGAGACGACCGAACATTCTTTCTAACTATGAAACTGAACACAAAAATACCACACACACTTACAATGCCAAAAAAAAAAAAAAAATCCACAGTGAGTACTCCTTTCTATCTGTGCGCACATACACCTTGTGTTTAACGAGTTCCTTTTCCAGAACCTTATAAAACTCTTTTTCCCGCCTTGTTCATCTTGCATTTCTATTTAGGCGTGGAACTTTTCATTAATCTCGTACCACGAGATAAGTTACTTGTTTCCATCTAATTAAAGTTACACATGTTTTACAAACAGACGTCTTTTTATTCTGGCTATCTCTTTGATGTTTATTAATTTATGCACTTGTTGATTGACCCCTTTCCTCTCACTGTTCATTCACGCATTATTATTTTTTTTTTTTATACATTGCTTGTGGACTCGGTAGTTTAGTGTGGTGTCTGGCACAAGGCCACTTCGTAATAAACCAGTACCGCACGCTGCCGGGTCCACAACAGATCTATTAAGTGAGTTTCAGTAATTCTTAATTTCTTGAATTTTACTTATGCACATTTATTATCTAATCCAAAGGCCAGACTGATGTTATTACTAGAAATTTTTCAGCATGGCGTACACTTTTCAACTCATTGTCTTTAGCAAAAAGTTTGAGGTTGTACATGTAGAATAAGTGATTATTAATTTTTTTTATGTTAAGAGGCCACATTTGCTTCTGTCTATACAGCAAGCATCTGTAACAGGAATTAGCTAGCTATCCGAACAGATGTATGAACTCAAAAATTATTGACCAGCTATTATTATATTTTAGAGAAAATTATATTTTTGATTTTATTTGCAGGAAAGATTTGAATTAAGGATAAATAAAAAAAAAATTGCTTTGTTTTTAAAATGATTTAGTTCATAATGAGCACTTAGGGTTTTTTAAAACAAGAAATTAAACATATTTCTTATTACAATAAACATCATTTTTAGTGGGCACATGTCCTTCAGTTGTTATCTATGTTTTCTATTTTCTTAAATAGTATCATTAATAATAATAAAATTGAGAAGTTTGGCTTAAGAAAAATTGTGCAAACAGGAAATGTATCTGTATCTCTTTTTTCCATCAGAGAAATTGCTTCTTTAGCCAAAATGTGACTACCAGTTGCAGAGACCAGCCAATTGGGTGGAATATATATATATATATATATATATATATATAAAATACCAAATAGGGTCCTTGAATCTGTATGGCAAAAATGATTGATTTTTCTATTTGCTTCTTGTCAGAAGTGAGCTTAGTTTGTTTTTTTTGTTTTTTTTACATTGTCTTTTATTTTTCTTTTACCTTTCAGGTACCAGGAAACTTTCACGTGTCCACGCATGCTGCTGATAATCAGCCAGACGTAATAGACATGGCTCACATAATTCACAAAATTCGATTTGGAGTTGAACGAAATGATACCTCGGTAAGTCTTAAAGAAGATTAACATTTTTTTCTTTTTTAAATTACAAAAACAAAAAAAAATGATTGTATTTTTTAGTTAAGGAATTATACGTACATTTGCCATATTCTATCAGAAGTGCTTGCATCACTGATCAGAAAACTACAACGTCTTTCTTCTTGATTGATTTTCAATGCACAACCTACAGGATCAGTGCTAAAATGAAAGATTTTGTTTATAAGACAGTGGGCAGTTATAGGAAAATCTAAAAGCTTGTCTCAGGATATCAGCTTCAAGTGCAGTTCAAATGCAGCCATAATTATTATTTAATTTTTTTTCCTTTACTGCTAGAATTTACTGTATATGTAATTTTTTAATGTTATTGTTCATTTAATGCAAAGCCCAAGAGACACTCAAGATAGAAGATTACTGAATGTGATTGTTGAATGAAACTACATCGTAGATCATGAGAATATGTTGCATAGATAACTGTAGGCTCTGGACATCAGGGGGTTCAGATTGTAGTGGTCGGGAAAGAATCCTCTTGGGAGTCTGTTTCTCAAAGCAGCAGCTCTTGAAGTGAAAAAGCTGTCTAAATGGAACTTCTTTATTACTAATGGAATAAAAAGGAATCAAAGTCTATTTATACATGACAAGTCAAGTTTTAGCATAAAGATTTGAACGAGCGGAACTAGGGATGAGTTTTCACACAGCATACAGAAACCACCAATAAAAAGAAAAAAGACTATGAACATTTATATGCCTCATTCCTTCAAGACATGAGTAAATATAACTCTCCACAGCTTCCTGTATATTGTTGTGCTTAACAATACCGACTTCTTTTTCATTCTCCTGTTTGTTTCTCCATCCATTTGCTCAAACTTGTTAAATAGACTAATTTCTCCAAGCCATCTTTTCTCATTATGTGTCTTCAAAATTGCAGCTGTTTGAGACTGTTGTAGTGAAAGGGTTAATGTGCATATTCTAATTTTTATATTTTAAATTTAATCAGTTTTTGTTTTTTTTAAAAAATGTATATTTCATTTTTTTAATTTTATTGTTCAGCCAATACAGAGCCCAAGAGACACTCAAGTTAGGTTATTACTGTATGCAGTTGTTGTATATACCTAGAAATTGTTGATCATGAGGATATGTAGGATAGCTAACTGTTGGCTCTGAATATCAGGAGGTTCAGATTGTAGTGGTCAGGGAAAAATCCTCTTGGGAGTCTGTTAAACAAATATATTAATATTCTATATGATACATTAAATTACATCTCTATTAAAAGAGGCTATTATGAGTGTAAAATTACACAAGCCTTTTCTCATTATGTTTCTCAGAAATTTCAATCATCTATATCTGATTTTAAGTGTAAGTGTCCTTTTCTTTCTTGCTTAAAACTTCCTTGTTGCTCAAATGTTTTGTCCATTGTATTCTCAGACACCTTCTTTCTGTAGAACCACATCTTTGTTGCCTCAAATTTCCTCTTCATCTGTGAGGAAATTATCCAGCATCAATTGCCATATGGGATGATTGATATATAACAGTTCAACTTCAAGGTATCATCACAATTAGATCTTGGTGTCATGTTTTTCAGTCATTTTAAAACTCTATCCAGAAAATATTAAATATCTTTGATCTTGTGTTGAAAGATAATTGAGTGTTTCCTAATTTTTTTGACTCATTTATACATTTCAGATAATTGTTTTTTTTTAACTTAGGAAAGATCAACTTTTTTCAATTTAAAATGCTTTGTATATCTTAATTATTCAAGACATATAATCTAGTGTTTTCAGGCTTGTGTTCAGAACTTTCATTAACTTTCTCAAGAACATTTCTAAATGACAGTATTCATTGTGAAAAATATTACTCATTTGCTTTTCCATTTTCTACTTGATTTTGTTGTCAAAATTAATTTAATGAATCAATCTCATTACTAATTTTTGAATCTTTTTTTTTTCGTACAATTAGAATTAAGATATTATTAGTTAATGATCATTTTCACCTGCAAATTTTAAATTTAAAATTCACATGATTTTTCAAACTGTTTATGGCGTAAGTATCTACACCATAAACAGTTTGAAAAATCCTGTTAATTTTAAATTTAAAATTCACTGGTGAAAATGGTCATTAACTAATGGTATCTTAATTCTAATTGTATGAAAAAATTTTTTGCTCTGTTTAATGAAAATAAACACTGAGCTCTGTTTGTGAGTCAGTTTTAACATTTAATATTTAAAATTCTATATTGTGTTCATAGGACTTGCTCAGATTATACGAATGGATTACTATCTCTGTGTGTGTGTGTGTGTGTATATATATATATATATATATCGGGTGTAACAGCGAAATATGTGATAATTGTCCATCCCACAAAATCTTTAATATCTGAAAAACCACTAAACCAATTGAATTTCTTTCTTTCAAGTTTTCAAATAGGACATTTAGGCATCTTGACACTATTTGTCCTAAAAATCACTGAAAAACCTTTTGAGCTATTCAGCTAAAAAGTACAGCTTAAAATCATTTTGTGTCAGCCCACTGTGTCTTCCCAACTGTGAAATGGTGAGAGGAAAAAGATCATTCAGGTCTTCAGTAAAGTTACCAACATTCATACTTTGGCTTCTATCTTCACAGTCCATTCTTGTTTAAAACTGTCTTGTTGCTCAAATGTTCTGTTGATTAACCATCAACAGAACGATTAATAAGTTTAAAAAGAAGAAACAGTAGAGAGGAAAACTGGATCAGGAGGTCACAACATCAAGAGGGATCATAATTTCAACTTATTGTTCAAAGTAGAGTCCAATAGCGTTATAAAAATCTAGAGAATTCCAGAAAGATATCTTTAATCATTTCTAAGATACAACGCTTCAAGGCTTAATCTAACAATTGGACAATTTTGCAGTTTCACCTGGTGTATATATCTATATATAAGTGTACATTAAAGTCAACACCCAGTGATGACAGGCTGTTTTATGCTAAATGCAACTGTCAGGCCATGTTCATTGTTTTTACTTGACTTTATATATTAGCTTGTATGAGGATGGTGATAGGGTGGGTATGTTTTTTTTAGTGAGAAGAAGAGGCTAAACTTTTCTATGTTCATGATGGTTTCTAAATGTAGCAAAAGTACTCTACTGTTTATCAGGAGCTAAATATTTCAATCACTTTTGCTATGTTCTATCTGAAAAAAAAACTGTTTTGGTGTTTTTTTATATTTTAAATTGGTTTAGTGGTTTTTTAGATATTAAACATTTTGTGGGATGGACAACTGTCCCAATTATCCCATGCTGTTATACGATGTGGACAATTTTGCTGTTAGACTGTTAGAGCCTGTGTGTGTATATATATATATATATATATATATATATATATATATATAAAATGCATGTCAAAATTATGTAACAGTAATAAGGCAAAACTTTCTGACTTCAAGAGAAGAAAGAACTAATGAGATAGAAGCCATTATCAAAATGCAAGATAAATAACATGAACAAAATTAATAAAGTTTGCAATGAAAAGAAAAAAAGGGCAAAAAAAAGATCGAACCAGAACAATCATGCAGGCAAGCAAATTATATTTAAGCAAATCAAACAGATAAGGCAAAAAAATTCACAAACTATGAGTTTGTGTTTCTATACAAAAGCAAGTTTGGACAAGCGGACAAAGTAGGTCTGCCTAGTAGATAAGGCAGATCTGGTCTGAGTCATGTCAAAAAGCAAATCATCCCATTTTATTGGCTAAGAAAAATATCCCAGCATGCATTTTTTGATTTTTTGTGTCCTTCTATGGGAGGGAGGGGAAAAACTTTTGCAATTATTTCCACCATACTGAAAAATAAACAGGAAAGAAAATAAAATGAGGGCAGATAAGATTGAGAATTGTCTATTTTCTTTTTCCATGTTCAAGATGAAAGGTATAAAATATTTTAAGTTAAATTCTGATAGAGCCTGATATTAAATTAACAAAGGGGACATTTTATTTTGTTTCTTTTTTTTTTTATTTGAGTTCAAGTTTAGTAATGATACTTCTCAAACTGATGACAAAATAGAGTGAAGGATCTACATGTGATTGAAAAATAAGGTACTGGTTTCTGAAATTCTGAAGTGGGGATGTGACTCTTGAAGATCAAGGTGGTACAGGATGTCACTCTGCAATTGACAATCAACATCCGAAAATACTAGTCAAACAAAACTCATGTCAAAATTTCAGAGAAATACCTCAGGTAATGGGTGTCAGCATTTCAAGAATATTGGACCATCTCAAGGAAGGTGAAGAAACTTGATAAATCTATCACCCCATACTCAGTGAAAGCCAAAACATTTGACGATTTGAAGTGTTTGATGCTTCATCTGCAAAATTAGAATGATCCATTTTTTTTGTCCAAATAAGGACAATTGTAAATGATTGACACAATGCCTTGATCATGATCAAAGATACAAGCACTTTCCAAAATCCAAATTGCACTGACAGAAGATTATGGTGACCATCTGAGTTTTATAATTCCTGATGAGAATTTGATTTACCAGAGATTCTTGCGTGATTCTGGAGAAGCCATATCTAGGATTCTAGATTCATCTTCTATGTTGATGGTGAAACAATTTTGGAAACAGTGAGTCCTGGATTTTTCCCAACATGAGGTCTGTGACCCAGAGATAATTTCTATATCTGGCGAAGATATATATTCATAGAAAAATGGTGTCTTGGTCTTGTAAGGTGCACTACGGGGGACTGGTTGTGGGAGGCAGATTTAGTTTTCACCAGAGTGAGGCAAGGGTTTCACTAATGCTAAACTAAACAACTGCTTGGTTTAACTCCTGGAAGCTGACCGATTGCTGCTTTCATCACTGTGTGAAGGGATGTCACCTCAATCAAAGGGAGATAATTGCTTTTTTTGTATCCTTGCAGGCTTATTAGAATGACCAATATTTACCTCTTCCTGAACCAGATAAATATTTATACGCATATATAAACAACTAATATTTGCTTATCTTTAATGCAAATGAATGCAAACTTTGTGTCTG